CCTTCATTTGCTTTCTCTATTGAAATGGTTCCATCCTGAACTTCATCTATAAAATGATAATAATGTTTGTAGTTACCTAATTCATCATTTCATTCATTTACTTGAAAATCTTTGGATATATACATATTTTTTCCTTGTTGATTCTTCCACTGTAGTGTGAGTTCCTTGAGGGCAGGTTCCATATTTTTGTATTTCTTTGTATCCTCAGTGCTTATCAGAGTGCCTAGCACATAGTGCTTCACAAAATCTTTGACCAACTCAAAAACATTCATTAAAAGACACCTACAATGTAGACATTGGCATCTAGGTAGCACAGTTGTTAGAGTGCTGGTCTGGAATCAGGAGGACTTATCTTCCGAAGTCTGAATCTGTCCTCAGACATTTACTAACTGTGTGACCCTGGACAAATCACTTAACTCTGACTGCCTCAAAAATAAATAAATAAATAATTGAATGAATGAATTAATAAATAGATAAATAAATAAATGAAAGGAGCTGGAAAAGTAAATGACAAACCACTGCAGTGTCTTTGCCAAGAAAATCCAAAATGGAGTCACAAAGAGTCAGACACAACTGAAAAGACTGAACAATAACAACAGGATAGACACTCTGCTAGATACAGTGATATAGACAATTATAGTCCAGTCCTTTCCCTTAAGGAATTTATCAACCAGTAGGGGGAAGTTTAGACTAGAAGAGATTGCATAACTATAATAGAAGTTGTTCAGTTGTGTCCAACTCTTCATGACGACATTTGGGTTTTTCTTGGCAAAGATGCTGGAGTGGTTTGTCGTTTTCTTCTCCAGCTCATTTTACAGATGAGGAGCTGAGGCAAATAGGGGTAAGTGACTTGCCTAAGGTCACACAGTTAATGTCTGAACCCAGGAAGAAGACTTCAGACCCTGCACTTTATCCACTGAGACACCTAGCTGCCCAAGTGAATAATATAAGTTAGCCTATGTTAAATGTGGTTTAAAATAAACAAACAATAAAAGGTTATAGAAGATTATGGAAAAGGGAAATTTCTTCTACTTGTTATGATTGTGGTAGACACATAGAGGAAATGGTAGCTGAGTTAGACCTTGAGGAAAGGAAGGCTTGAGACAAATATACAGGTGGGAAAAGACCATTCCAAGGGGCAGCTAGGTGGTGCAGTGGATAGAGCACTGGCCCTGGATTCAGGAGGACCTGAGTTCAAATCCAGCCTCAGACACATAATACTAGCTGTGTGACCCTGGGCAAGTCATTTAACCCCAGTGCCTAGCTGGGGGGGGGGGAAGAAAAAAGGATGAGATTAAAAAAAAAAAAAAGAAAACTAAAGACCATTCCAGGATTGAGAGAGGGCATAACCCAGGATAATGGTAAAGGTCAGGGTGAGATTGAGTGGCAGGCCATTAAGTTTATCTGAACCACAGAATATGTGAAGGAATAAAGACTATGATATGTTTGAAAGGCACATTGTATCCAGAATGTGAAAGGCCTTGAATGCCCAGGTCAGTTTTTTATAGACAAGAGATAATGAAGGTTTTGTTTGTTTTTTAGCACTGGAGTGAAAAGGTTAGACATGCGGATTAAGATTATTTTGCCTGGTACAATGCCTTATGGCAGAGTAGGTGATTAATAAATGCTTGATGAATGAATAAGTGAGGAAAAATTTAGAAAAAATTAGAAGAAAGGGAATTATATAAGCTGCTAGAATGGGAGTTCTTAAATCTTGGGTTAATATATCCTTAACAGGTTCATAGATAGATTTGAAGAGATTTGTGAATGTGAATAGAGATTATCTTTTTATTTTCACTAACTTCTTTTTTTTTCCTTTTTGGTGAGGCAATCAGGGTTAAGTGACTTGCCCAGAGTCACACAGCTAGTAGATGTTAAGTGTCTGAGGCTGGATTTGAACTCAGGTCCTCCTGACCCCAAGGCCAGAGCTTTATCCACTGCACCACCTAGCTGCCCCTATTTTCACTAACTTCTAACAGTAATTTAATGATTCCTTCATTTATTTAAAAATATCATTATGACAAATGGTCCAGTAGTTTCACCAGACTGACAAAGAGGTCCATGATACAACAAAGGTTTAAAGCTCTTCTGTAAAGCAACTCTTTACTAGGCCATAAGTTCCTTGAAGACAATAGTTGTGTTTTATTATCTTTGCATATGTCCTCAGTACCGGTTATTGCTACATTTTTTAAAATCCAGAATTTCTAAAACAATAAAAAGCAGTGGTGGGGGAGGCAGAGAATAAGCATTTATGTAGTGCCTGCTACATGCCAGGAAAAGCGCGAAAATGTTTTTACAAATATTATCCTGTTTGATTCTCACAACAATCCTGTGAGGTAACTTCTATTATTATGTCCAGTTTACAGCTGAGAAAACTAAGGCAAACAGAGGTTATGTGACTTGCCCAGAATAACACAGCTAGTGAGTATCTGAGGCAGGATTTTAACTTATGTCTTTGTGACTCCAAACTCGATGCTCTAGCCACTGTTTCACAAGGTACGTCTAAGCAGAGAGAATAATTCCATGTAGAAAGCAGAACATAAAAAGGAGGGATTATATATAAAACTACAAATTTCTTTTATGTATAGCTTGGTTTTATACACACACACACACACACACACATGTTTATCTCTCATATATGTATATGCACTGTGCATTTATGCATGTGTGAGTATATACACATACAGTACTTATGTATAGATATGTAAAATTTCAACATGTTACTTTCAAAACTGTCCTGTTTATCTATCTTTAACTTTCTTCTGTGCCTGTTGAAGTGTACCAATGACCCTCTTTTTTCTTTTTTTAAGTAGATATATCACTACCTCTCCTCCCTAACAAACCCTTCAATGAGAAAATATATATATATATATACGTATGTATGTATGTATCTATGTATCTATCTATGTATCTATCTATGTATCTATCTATCTATCTATATGTATGTATGTATGTATCTATATATACACATGTATAAAACTATCCTTGTAACAAATTAGCAAATCAAAAACCAATGTGTCATTTTGCATTTTAAGTCATTCATCCCTCTATCTGGAGGGAATTGGAATGCTTCCTCATGAGTCCTCTGGAATTATGGTTTATCATTTCATTGAACAGAGTCATAAGTCTTTCAACACTCTTTTTCCTTACAAGGTTGTTAGGGTATCATTATTTTTCTCCCCTGGTTCTTCTTATTTCTCTTTGCTTTGGATCATACATGTCTCCCTAAGTTTCTCTGAAATGATTCCTTTCAAAATTTCTTATATCACTATAAGGCTCCATTACATTCACATACCATAGCTTGTTTAGCCATGCCACAATTGATGGATACTTTCCAGCTCTTTATAACAATAGAAAAAGCTGCTGTAAATATTGTTTGACCACATGGATCCTTTTGCTCTTCCATCTCTTTCATATATAGGCCTAGAAGCTGTATCAGGATATTAATGAATATGCATATTTTAGAGATTTTTTTTTCCAAATTGCTTTACTAAATATATGAACCTACATATTCTAGTTCTACACATGAGTGGGCCTACCTTCCTGCTGTGCCTCCAACGATTGTAATTTTCCTTTTTATGTGTGTGATTTTTGCAAATTTCAGAAATATTTTCATATGTATTTCTCTAATTATTAATAATTTAGATAATTGTCTTATATGTCTGAAAATAACTTGAATCTCTTCCTTTGAGAACTAGATGTTCTTATTCTTTGACCATTTATTGGTGAAGTTCAATGGATGTTGTAGGCACTTAATAAATGTTAGTTAAACTCTAATATTTACTAGCTATGTGCCCTTAGCTAGTAAAGTGAGGTATAGTAGACACAATACTGGACTTGGAATCAAGAGATGTGGAGTTAAATCTATGTGACTGTGAGCAAGTCATTTAACCTCAGGTCCTTTGTCTATAAAATAAGGCTAATATTATTTATGCTGTATACCTCTTAGGATGTTTATGAATAAAGTCCTCTAAATTTAAAAGTGCTATTTAAATATGTGTTATTGCCAACAAGAGAATAGATGGATAGATGGATGGTTGGATAACCTGAGCAAAGTCTGATTGTCAGTAAGATCAATATATTATGGTGTTTGACCAATTAATTTTACTCCAAGAGACAGAAAAATAGGAAGTGTTATTTAATAAAAAGAAAACAAGAAAGGAAAAAAAACAGAATAGTCATTCTAAATCCATACTCTAGACTTCAAACCTCGTGTAATAATATAGTACAATAATAATAATAATATTACATAATAATAACAATATACACACAATTTAGAGTTCATACATTTAGCACTAGAAGGGAACAATGGGTCATATCCCTCTTGTTTTATAGATGTGGAAATTGAAGCCAAAAGATTAAGTGATTTGCCTGAGGTTACATAGGTTCCAAATGACAGGGCCAGCATTCAAACCCTTGTTCTTCAGCTCCTACATTCCCCACTTCAACTAACTATATAGCTCAGCTCCTTGAGTTCAGAGGACACATCACATTTCCTCACAATAATCACAGCACCTTGAACACAACAGGTTTTCAGGAGATATTTGCTGATTGAAATTTGGAGGCATTTCAGTAGAAAAGGTCAGCTGTGACTTTTACAGAGTGGCGTTTGTCAAAAATGGTTATTTGCTAATATGAAGGAAGATTGTTGAATGAAAATCTGGAAACAGGAAAGAAAAATATGAGCAATTTAATTTTTAACAAATCACACATTATAACTACTTGCCTGTCCTGTATGGCACAGATTGACTAAGAAATTGATTACTCTGGTAATGTCACATTGTCTTTTACGGAGTGAAGCTAAACCAAGTGAAACTGACATATATTTTTTTATTCTCCATCTCACTTTGAGATATTGCTGATGCCTTACTGAGCAGGTGAGTTGAATTCTGTTGTCCCCCAAATAAATGAAAAAAAGTTCATCTTAATTGATTGGACACAGCATATTTGAATTTTTCCCATAAAGAGTAGAACTGAAGGGTTTGAATCCTTAGTCACACCTAGGACCCTTTTGGAAGTAGGACTTTGAGCACTGCTCTACGGATTTGCTTGGTCTTCACACTATAGATGATTGGATTCATCACTGGGGGTATGAGCAGGTAAGCATTGGCGATGAGTGTGTGCACATAAGGAGGGGCTTGCTTCCCAAACCGGTGGACAAAGGACAAGCTGATAAGAGGGATGTAAAAGATAGCAACAGCTCCAATGTGGGAGATGCAAGTGCTGAAAGCCTTGTGCCGCTCCATGGGAGACGCAATACTGAGAACAGTTTTAATGATCAAGACATAGGAGAGGAGAATAAATATGGAATCCACCCCAGCAGTGCTGATCAAGGCAGCTAATCCTACTGCGCTGTTAATTTTGGTATCTGTACATGACAGCTTCATCACATCAGGGTGGAAGCAATAAGAGTGATGGAGCACACGGCTGTGGCAGTAGGACAGGCGTTTAAGAAGAAGGACCATTGGCATAAGTATGATTGTCCCCCGTGTGACAATTGCCACTCCAATTTGGGCAATTCTGGATTCTGTTAAAATGATGGCATATTGCAATGGGTTAGAGATGGCCACAAAGCGATCAAAGGCCATAGCCAAGAGTACTGAGGACTCCATGACTGTGAAGAGTTGAATGAAGAACATCTGGGCCAGGCAGGCATTAAAACTGATCTCTCTGGCATTGAACCAAAATATGCCTAGCATGGTGACCAGGGTAGAGATAGACAAACCCAAATCTGTGGTAGACAACATGGAGAGAAAATAGTACATGGGCTCATGGAGGCTTGGTTCAGTGATGATGACAAAGAGGATCATGCTATTCCCTGAAAGGGCAGTTACATAAAGACAACAAAAAGGAATGGAGATCCAGCTGTGAAAGGATTCCAGTCCAGGAACACCAGTGAGAAAGAAGGTGAGGGAAGAAGTGGTGTTAATAAAAGGTGGCATATTGAGCAGAAGAGGCAAAACTCCCCGCTGAAATTTCAAATCCTGAAGGAAAAAAAGAGAGAAACTATTCACCTACAATGCAAGTGGTCCCATGTGATGATCCTGGAGTATTCAAAAAAAGAGAAAATAAAGTGCTTGTCCTTGTTCTGCTCTCAATTAAGCTTCCCAAAAAGTCCAGCATGCCTTGTAGAGAAGTTGCTGGCAATTGTTCAGAAATGAAAGAGTTTTTAGGAAGAAATCTTAGTCTTTCTTTGAAAGAGTTCCATGTGGTGAAGAACAGCAGTACAACAAACTATGCCTACTATCCCAAAACCTGTGTTCTTTCTCCACAAACCTGACAAGATATTCATCATCATACAGAGAATATGCATCAGCAGCAAGACTTGGAACCAGATCTTTTTCTGGATTCCAAGCTAGCTCTCTATCTCCTATACAACACTACCTGTCATGGCTCTTCATAAGGATCACAAAGCTTTCGCCTCTCACCAAAACTCTACTCCCACCTCTCACCAAGTTCTCTACATCCCACTTGAGTTGAGATCCCAAGGCAGAATATGGGACTATGGTCAGAGTCTCATATATTGGCTGAGCCCAGTAAGAGGAAAAAATCACATTTCCCATGCACTTTATTCAGAATTATCACCTCCCTCTCAGTCTTCATTATGGTGCACATTGTTAGTCATATTAATCATGACCAGCTTTGCCCTAGGTTGAGTCAATAAGGAATCTCACAATGGAAATTCAACGTAAGAACGCCAACCAAAGAATAGGTGGATCATGGACCTCACCTGAGCCAATCCAAGATCCCAGCTCATTCTATTTCTACCTTAAAGGGAGTAAGTTTGCTTAGTGGATAAAGTGCTGAACTTCAAGTCAGACAAACCAGAGGGTGAATCATCTCAGATGCTTATCAGTTATGTATTCATGGGTTAGTAATTTAGCCTCTTTCACCCTAAATTTGCTCATTTTAAAGTGGGGATAATAAGAGCATATACCTCATGAGGATGTTGTGAGATAACATATGTGAAGTGGTTTGCAAACCTCAAAATGCCATATAAATGCCAGCTATTATTACCTTTTCTACACTTTATTTTAGATATATTTTAGCATGTTATGGTACATACCCATAACACAAATACTCAATAACTAATGCATATGTACATCTAATACTCAGGGATACTCAATATGGCAAAAACTATGATGATTAAAAATTTACTTCTCCCCTATAGCATTTTCTCCTTTCCTCCTAATGCTTTTAATTAACCTCCATCCCAACAGAAGGGGCTGTTCAGTATTTTCCAGGCCATTTGGTACATAATGTCTGTCAGAGAGAATTATTCCTGAGCATTACCAATTGCAGATCATCCATGAGCAGCTTATAACATCTTAACTATCCACTATCTCAATTGACAAAAAGTAGAGGAAAACAAGACTTATTCCAGTCTTCTCTCTCCTGTAGCTGCTTTTATAGACAAACAAGGAGAATTTGGAGATTTTTAATGAGGACTTCAAGCCACATGGATAGCAAGGCCAGAAAGGATTGAGCAGAAGAGTAATATAAGCCTTTCTAATCTTGGCAATCATAAATTCTGTGCCTTTATTTGCTTTCTTAATTTCTTGATAAAGTTTGTACCCCAGCCAGGTCTCTGTAAGATTAATTGTTGAAAACTAGTCATTACTCACTAGCCCAGGTAGTTGAGAGTATTCCAGAGGATCAGGTAAGAATAGTATTATTGAAGCCAGGAGGATAGTACCACAGTGGATTGAGGCTGTCAGAGAGTTAGGGAGTGGAAAGGTCACTGGAATTCAAGGTTTAAGGCTCATCTCTGACTCTTATAAGCTGTGTGACTATAGGCAAGACAATTTACCTTTCTCAGTCTGATTCCTCTGTCAAATAAGGGTAGTAAGATTTATAATACTAATATCTCAGGGCTATTGTGAGTAAAGTCTTTTATAAATGCTAAAGCATATATGTGTGTATATATATATATATATATATATACATATGTATGTGTGTGTATACGTATATAGATATAGATATACGTACACATATATACATGTATATATGATGGGGTGCTAATGATGGATCCATAAAAGGAAAAGCCCCTGAACTTTTCCAAAAATTTCAGGAACCCAGCCCCTGAACCCAGATCCCTGGCTTTTGCCTGAGGCAATTGACCCATCTCAGTCAACCATCCTTTTAACTGCCCTTTCACTTACCTCCTTCCATTGTCTACCCCCGACCCCTCCCCAGGCTACTTGCCACTCCTAGATCCCATCCAGATTTTTTCAGTCTTTTTTCTGTACAAAAATATCAGTCCTGTGAAAAGTAAGAAATAATTATATTTCCATATAAGGAAATTGAAAGGAAAGTACCTTTGGGTCAGAAACCAGCTGAAACTCGTTGTTTGATTAAAGAAGCTGGAAGGAGGACAAAGGTTAAGCTTCACTTAGATTGTGCACGCTTGAAACTTACCTAGGGGAACATGTGGTGGGTATTTCAGGAAGTCTGTGACTTGTGCTGACCTCTACCTATGAAAGTCAGCTAGGAGGGACTTGTGACCAGAAATAGGAATATAAGGTTTGTTCTTGCTTCTGCAGGGTGTGTGTGCTCATCTCAAGTTCCACACCTGCTTCTTTAGGGAACCATATTAAAGGTTTCACTGTTTCACTCAACCTGAGTCTAACTAACTTATTGTGCCTATTTGGGCACTAGAGGTTATTTCCAACTGTCCCCATCCTCATCAAACGTACAGATTCCTTAGGAATCCTGCCCACTTCTATTGGTGACACAATAAATCTTGTTTCTTACTGAAAGAAGGCTTGAGTTGTCAGATTCTTTTAAGGCAGACTCCTGCCCTGTACCCTTCCTTACATTTCAGGGTTCCTAGCACCCCTCGACCTCATTTTACATATATATATATATATATATATACACACACACACATGCACACACATACATATATATACATATATGTATATATGTACCTATATACATATACATATGTACATGCATACATATATACATATACATATGTACATGCATACATATACACACATATACATACATATGTATGTATATGTGTATATATGTATATATACACACACATATAATATTGGGGGCAGCACGTAGTGGACAAAGTGCTGGGCCTGGAGTTAGGAAGACCCATCTTCCTGCATTCAAATCTGGCTTTAGACACTTACTAGCTGAGTAAGTCACTTAACCCTGTTTGCCTCAGTTCCTCATCTGTAAAATGAGCTAGAGAAGGAAATGGCAAACCACTCTGGTATCTGCCAAGAAAATCCCAAATGGAGTCACAAAGAGTTAGGAACAACTAAAACAGCTGAACAACAAAAATCACAAAGCTATCATAAGGAAAGTCCTTTGTAAATGATAAAGCATAAATATATATATATATATATATGTGTGTGTATATATACGTATACATACATACATACATATGTACACACATATGATTCATCATTTACATACATATATGTATATGTATACGTATACATAGAAACATATATCTATATATAGATATGTATATCTATCTATATATGTATATAGATATATAGATATAGATATTAGCTAATAGTAGTAGCAGTAGTAATACTAAGAAAAGAAAAACCTTCACAAAGAGATTTTGGACTCAACTATACGGGCTCCCCTTCTTCCCATCCAATGTATTTCTTTATACTTCCCCCTAGGATTTCCTGGGACCCTAGAATCCTAAATATGTTGTCTTTTCCATTCATTTCATCCTAAGTAGGACCTCACATTAAACCATTAAATCTTATTGACATACTCTTTACTATATAAAGCTGATAAGCCTAACCCAATGTTAATAGAACTTGATATCTTTGAGTTTCATCTCTAGAAGTAGAGATAGACTACATTGAAGTATCCATAATCTCTCCTTCAAACTTTTGGGAACAGTGGCATAGTACTGGTGAAATAGTTGAGAATACGTGTTTGTCTCTAGCTGTGGAGCAGAGCAAAACTACATGGTCTAAAACTATTACCATTAGGATGAAAACTTAGTTGGACCATGCCATAAATTACTGTACTAATATGTGGCAGGCTACCAGGACAGTGACATGCAGGTGAATATCACTGATGTTTGTTCAGGCTTCCAGGGAAGACAAGATTTTAAAACCTAACTCAAGTTGCCCATTTCAGTCTCCAGCAGCCCACCATGTCAAGTGTATCTTTCTTAGTTAAAATGAACCTATATATCTTAAGCTCAACACTATCTTTCTATACAATATTCCATCTGTCATCTAACCACATCTGCAACTGTTTTACTTACAGAATCTATATAGCATGGAGGAGACAACAGTCCTGTCTTGTCTTGTCATCATTGTGGCACCAGAAAATCAAAGATTAAGCCAATTGTACTCTGGGGTGGAAGTATTAATAAGGGGGCAAGATTTATCCTGGTGGGGATCATTTACCTAGTAGGGAAGCTTGATCCAGGGGGAGAGCTCATTATCTTCATAATTAGCCTGCGTGTTAAATATCCCAAGGGACCTGAGATCCTAATTGGCCTTTCTCTGCCAATAAGCTTTGCTTCTCTCTATGTCATTGTTTCAGTCTAGGGATGCTAGGAACCCTAGAATGCAAGGGTACAGGGCAGAAGGTCTGCCTTGAAAGAATTCAACCACTCAAGCCTTCTTTCAGTCCAAGTAGTGAGTTTATTGTAACATTAATAGAAGTGGGGCCAGACTTCTAGTGAGTCCGTATATTTGTGATGCCAATACAAGCAGGCCAGATTCTTAAGGAATCTGTACAATTTCTTTTTCTTTCTTTCTCTCTCTCTCTCTCTCTCTCTCTCTCTCTCTCTCTCTCTTCTCTCTCTCTCTTTTTTTCTTTCTTTCTTTTAGGCAATGGGGTTAAGTGACTTGCCCAGAGTCACACAGGCTAGTAAGTGTTATGTGTCTGAGGCTGCATTTGAACTCAGGTCCTCCTAACTCCAGGGCCAGTGCTCTATCAACTG